AATCGGCTTTTGGAGAGAGAAAATGAGAAAACTGGCTTTTCAGGGGAATAGGTGGCCGGCCACCATCCTTCTACCTCCCTAACAGTGACAATAGGGTCTCTACCAAAAACGGACCAAAACAGATGCAAAACGAAGGTTCAGGGGCCAAAACGCGCGGTTTAGGGCCCCGAAAACAGGCTGTTAGGCACCGGAAGTGGCGTATGACCACAAAGGTGGTCTCCCAAGCCACAGTGTCCCTCTAAAGGGAGGAAATAAGGTGTGTGCCAAAAACCCGGAGCAGACGGAGGTAGTTAAGCTGTCCCGAACCGAGGCACACGGCCGACGGCTCCGAAAACTTGAAACCGGGCTCCAAATGGGAAAAATGACCTACGACCACGAAACGTAACCTACGGCCACTGAGAGATGGTCTACGAGACCTCTCCCTCCCTTCAGGAAGAGAAAACAGAGAAAAAAGACCTGGTTCGCAAACCGAGACAAAGCACAAAAGAGCCTCGAAGTCTGGAGGCAAGGCTCGCAGCCGAGACTCTGAAACCTCAGAACGAGCACAATATGCAACATCACCGAGCACTCAACTGGTGACGTCTGAGTCTTAAGGTCGGTCAAAAATGAGGTGTCTACAGTATGCCTCATTTACTGACCATTGAATGAGCTCTATTTCTTTGCATTCCGAGCCATCATTTTAGGTCATTTCCCCACTATTTCTGACCTGCCTAGGGTCTGTTTGGGGTTGGTTTTGCCATTCGTGCATTGCTTTATGTACCTCTAGTGTAATCCGCTTCACTAGTTTCGGTATTCGGGCCATCTAGCTTGTATTCTGTGACATATTTTCATGATTCGGAATCATTGCGCATCATGTTTCAGAGCTGGAAATTGCATGTTTGTAGGCCATCTTTCATCTCTTGCCATGTTTTGGTAGAGTGGCATTTGATGCCTTAGGTTCGGTCCATTGCATTCGTGCATGTTTGCATGTATTTTGGTTGTCTCATTTTCCTCATATGGCTACTGATGTGAGTGTGGCTGAGGTCCACTCATATTGGTGTAAGTCCACCCTGCATTGTGTATGCCATTTTAGTTCATAGCATTGCGTATGCTAGGTTGCATGTTAGTCGTATTGTGTATGCCATCTCATTGCGTTGTGTTTGGGATAAGAGTTAGCCCAAACACAAGAAACGAGGGACGTTTCGTACCCGAAGTGACGGAACATGCCTCAATTCCCAGTCACCGACACTCCGAATTACCCACGATGGAGTCTAGGCCTTGTTGTGTTGTCATGTGCATTCATTTCACATCGAGTCGTGCAATTTGACCCCTCGGCCATCATACATCGAGATGCATGATTAGTGGCACGAGGATCGAGGTGTGCATACATATATGAAAATACTTTGCCATGCTCCTTTCTTGTTCTCTGTTGCAGCAAACCAGAAATCAGCAGCCTTCTAGAGCTTTGCACAGCATTCTGGGATTAATCGCAAATAGAGGCAAATCGGGGCATCACGAGGAATTTTCCGACGAGGCGACTCGAACATGCATGTACCTTTCATCATTCGGAGCAGACCTGGGGCGGTCCATTTAGCTTGCATGCTAATTCATTTGCTTTCCTAGTTAATTTGTTAATTAATTTGGATTTTGTAATATTTAATTAGTTAGAGTAGTTAATTATTTATTCGGACTGTACTATTTATTCGGACCCTCCGAGTCAAGGCAATTGTGTAATAAGTGTGCGTGTGTGTGATGTATGTCTTCCAACCCCACGTCTTTCTCCTTTTTATTTACCAGCTTATGATGGTTAGTTTAGGGCATGTTTCAATTAGCATACTTATGCTTGCATGTTTACATCCATTCATCTGTCTTGCGTGCACCGGGCTCGGCGTATCATACTAACTGCATTGTATTTCAATTTCAAGTTAAATACGTGTTAGCTGTAGTATCATCATATGCCATCTTAGAATAGCCGAGCCTATCTTAGTTGCATTCTTGTATGTGTTGCATTAGGCATCTCAGCATAGTTAGGATTCATGCATGATTTCTAATTAGTTTGTTTCTTTGGCTCGGAGTACTCGGTAAGTGTTCATGCTTTAGCATCCTTGCATGCGTGTGAGTGATTGCCATGATAACATGCTTCACATGAGGCTATGTGCTTATATGATATAACTGCCTGAATGCCTGTGGGTGAAGGTTGGGTTATTTAGATTGGAACAACTCATCGACTGCAAGTTTTAAGCCCACTTGAGAGTGGCAAAATCATGTTTTCTAAGCCCACCTGAGGGTCCATCTTTTCTAAGCCCACCCGAGGGTGGCAAAATCTGCATTTTAAGCCTACTTACGAGTAGCAAATCATTTTAAAAAATGAGCAGGAAATGTTTTGTTCCAATTCAAGCGACCTGGTCTATACTTGTATGCTATGCGCATCACATTAGTAAATCTAGGCTAATAACCGGAATAAGAGCACATAATGTTTTCAAAACTTGATATCATGGTTAGTAGAGGCCGATCTTTGATCGGGCAAGCGGGGGTGCTCACGAAGTGACCTTCCCCAATCGTACCCAGGTTCCCGAGCCGAGGCAACTTTGGTGATGACGGACACATAGCCTTAGGCAACGAGTCAGGGTTTCCTAAATTCCCTAAAATAAAACATTTAGGTGGCGACTCTGTATCTGGCAAAGCAGTCCATGTTTGACACTTCTTTCAAAAACTCTGTTTTAAAAAACGATTTGCCGGATTTGGACTCTTTGATGATTCATCGGTCTTGCATTGCACTCTGTGAGATTAGATATAGGGCCGTGACTTTGAGTCTTGAACTGTAGTGAGACCCAAATGAACAAAACGGGATCTCCCTCCCAGGACGTTCGGGGACGTCTATAGAGCCCTTCACTCCCCACATTAAAAAATAGCCAAGAATATTCATGTGATTATGGTCATTTTTGCACTATCTTCTCACCGTTGGTAATACCACTCCAATTGATAAAAATTGTACCACACACGCCTAATTTGAGAGATAAAATGGAAAGAAAAGAACAAAAAAAGTCAAAATACAATAAAAAATGATAAATAATGTATTCTTAATTTCATTTTCTTTCCTAAACAAATATGAAAATCCTAACATTAACCCTTCCTCCACCAGGTACCTCATCACCGCCATAACCACCTTCTGTCATCCCCTCCCATTCCCTCTGTCATCCCCTTCCACTTCCATCACCACTCCCAACCACCTCCTTACTGCTTCCTCCTTTCGCGCCACCCCCTTTTAAATGACCATATGTTATTTAAAACCACAGTTTAAAATAAAGAGTGGTGGCACATGCACCAATTAGTGTATTAACTAGTGTACCAACATTAGTTATGATTTTATTATTGACCCCACTCATTATACAAATTACAAATACTAAAAATATCTTAAATTATGTCACATCATCAGTTGGTACATTAGTTAGTGCACTAATTGGTGCATATAGCATTACTCTAAAATAAAACAAAGATCATAACCAACAACATTAGTTATTAATTTTTTTTAGGATAAATTATGCAAATGGTCCCTATAGTTTACACGATATGTCAATTTGGTCCATTTGTTTCAATTTGTTCGATTTTGTCCTTTAATTTAACAAATAGTGTTATCTTAGTCCAATAAATAACAGTATTTGCTCCCTGTAGTTTATACAATGTGTCAATTTGGTCCCTGTAGTTTATACAATGTGTCAATTTGATCCCTGTTGTTTTAATTTGCTCGATTTTGACTGGGACCAAATTGACACATTGTGTAAACTACAGTGACCAAATTGACACATAGTTTGACTTTCCGTCCCTCGAACATAACAACCGTTATTTATTGGACTAAAATAACACAATCCGTTAAATTAAGGGAAAAATCAAGCAAATTGAAACAATAGGAGCCAAATTGACACATCATGTAAACTATAAGGACTATTTGTATAATTTACCTTTTTTTTTTTAAACTGAAAATGAAATACAACATATACATACATATATCGAAAGAGATAGGCAGGTGAAGTTATGACCCAGGTGTATACCTATTCTATTCATTTCTCATCTCAATCCTAACCAAGAAGAAAAAAAGAAAGAAAGAAGAAAAGTTAAACCATAAACTTCAATAAAGATCTAACCTTACAATATTTATATTGAAGTTGTTTAGCCAATCAATGATGATGGTAGGTTGAATGTGGCAATGATGTTGACACAAAGCGAAGGGAGGAGAACAATGTAACAATGGAGAATGTAAAGGTCTTTAATTCAAAATCATGTGAGAGTTCTTTGGTTATTTTTTAAAATGAGGGGTGAAACTCTCTAGGGTTACACTATAAGGAAGTAAAATAGATTTTTGATTATTTGTTAAATACATATATTAGCCAAATCTGATCACGTTTTTATAAAGAGGCATCTATTTTTCGTAGAGTGAGAAACATGTTCGGGGTGAAAGATGACACAAACGTTGCATAATACAATAAACACTTCGCAACAATCCATGGCAAAAGAGTACGACAAAGCAAAGAGAAATTGAACCAGGGAAGTCTAAGAAATAGACATTGGGTAGCCAATGCAAACTGGGCTTGAGAATGGGAAGAAGAGGGGTTGCGATGATTGGTAGGGATGAAAATGAGGCAATAACAATAACATGAAGGGAGTGACAACAAATAGAGAAAAGAGAGTGACATGGGCAAAAATGACTATTTGCCTATGTTTTTGAATCGTCACAAAATAAATTTATATACATAAACTTTGAAATAAAAAAAATTCGTTTAATGGTCTGACTGGTAAATAATTTCCCAATTTCTTCCTTTTCTTTTTGATTAGCAAAAAACTTTATTAATGAAGAAAGCAAAAAACATGCCACCTTACAACAACAAAGCTGGGACAAAACCCAAGATTGGTGAGGAACCAATTGAAACAGCCCAAAAAGAAAAAGAAAAACAAAACAAAACAACAGCAAAGCACTAGAGTAGCATCAGCAATACAACAAAAACTCCTTTGTAAAACTCCTTTCTTCATAGACAAAAGGAAGGCACAATCACCACAAACACTCCCAAAATAGCAGGGGCAGTGACATAATGCTCCCAACCAGCAGAGTAGCAGTAGCAATACCACAGAAGCTCCCCTGTAATACACCTTTCTTCGTAGACCACAAGAAACACTAACACCACAGACATTCCCAGAACAGTAGTGGCAACAAGGCTACCAACCATTCTCTAGCTCAACACAAGACATCAACCAAGGGGCAACCTACTACTCCCAGCATAAGTCACAATCTGATGAAGATTAGTGACTATCTCTTGCACTGAATACTGCATCTCCACAATATTCAATTTACTTCAAAGTGCTACCCTTACCTTCACTAACTCTGCTAATTCAATCCAATCTATTGGTTTGCCACTAAAAAGACCATCATTCATTGCTTTACATAATGACCACAACACAGCTAAAGGTACCACTTTCCACATTCTAAGAATCACTTTACTGAATTTGACTCCTGTCCACTGGAGCAGTAGATCCTCAATTGAACCAGGTAATACTCACACCACACCCCACCATTTCATCATATCAGTCCACACCTTCTATGCAAATGGGCAAAACAACATCAGATGATGAACTATCTCCTCCTCTGATTTACAGAACATGCACAATGAATCTGATTTCTCATTTAACACTTCTAAATTTTTTAGCACAACTGTAGTTTTAAGTTTACCTCTCCAAGCTAACCAGCCACAAAATTTTACCTTGGGAGGAGCAAGATTTTTCCACAACACCTTAGTAACACTGAGAGTTGAACGTTTTGAAGACATCCACCACTCCTATGCTGCTGCTACTATAAATGACCCTTTTGGATTGGCCCCCACTGACAATAGTCCTCAAACTCCAAAAACAGAGTAGGTGCTACCCTAAGCAACTCATACAATCTTTGTTCCTCCTCTTCTTCCCATGCTAACAGTGATCTTCTGAACATTAAGTTCCGCTCATTTGAATGAACCCTCCTCTGGTAAATCTGCTGAACAGTGCTACCTTTCTCCTTTGACAAGCTATACAATCTAGGAAACTCCTCCTTTAGGCATAAATTGTTCATCCACTTATCATTCCAAAACTGAATTTTACCCTCATTCCTTACTGATATTTTAAGGTTTAGTAAATAAAACTCAACCATAGTAGGTCTTATATTAACAAGTTTGAGGATATCACTCCAAACAATAGACACTGAAACAGTAGTAGAACTAAATAGGACCCACGTGCCCCCCACCACACCCACAAATCTGTTTCCACAGAGCTCTGTCCTCTAACCCAAACCGTCGCCACCACCATTTAAGCAAAAGATAATCATTAACCTCTCCAAGATTTCTTACCCCCAAACCCCCTTGCTCAATGCTTACTGATATCTCCCTCCAGTTAACCATGTGAAGTTTCTTCTTTGTATCAGAATCTCCCTACAAAAATGCTGCCTGAATCCTCTCTAACTACTTAGCCACACCTGCAAGTAGTTTAAAAATTGATAGGAAATATGATGGTAAACTGAATAGAATTGCCTTAATCAGTGTGATTATACGAGCAAAAGAGAGCATTTTTCCTTTCCATGAAGCCAATTTCTTCTTGACCTTCTCAATCACTGGTTTCCAAGTACTCTTTCTTCTTGGATTTGCCCCAAAATAAGTAATAGGAAGCTTTTGGCTATGACAGTGCAGGACTGAGACAAAATCTTTGATATCCTCCTCATTAACACCAACCCCACTCAACACACTCTTGTGGAAGTTAATTTTTAACCCAGACATTAACTCAAAACACCTTAAGATTCTCTTTATATTGACCAATTCTACCCTATCCGCCGCACAAAAAATAACAATATTATTTGCAAATTGCAAATGAGAAAGCATCAACTCAGTAGGCTCTATAGTTGCCCCTCTTAAATAACCCAACTTCTTTGCCCTTTTAATCAGCAAATTCAAACCTTCAGCAGCAATGTGGAACAAGAATGGTGATAATAGATCACCCTGCCTAAGCCCTTTTTGAGGTACAAATTCAGCGGATGGAGAACCATTTACCAATACAGAAATTTTAGCTGATGATATGAATGTTTTGATCCACTTCACCATTTTTCCCCAAAACCAAAATTCATCATCATTGAAAAAAGAAATTCCCAATTTACTGAATCATAAGCTTTTCAAAGTCTAATTTTAGAATAATTCCTTTCCTTCTAGATGATTTCCACCAATCCACCACTTTATTAGCAATTAATACGCCATCTAGAATAAACATTCCCCCCAAAAAAATACTAACTGGACTTCACTAATCATTGATGGCATTACTTTCTTTAACCTTTTAGACAAGACTTTAGCTAAAATTTTATAGACTAAATTAACAAGGCTGATTGGTCTGTAATCACCTAAATCACTTGGGTTCTCTTTCTTTGGTATCAAAGTGATAAAAGAATTATTCAAACGTAAGACCAGCTTCCCATTCTCATGAAATTTAGTCAGGAACTGCAGAGTCTCACTCTTCATTATCTTCCAGCACTTTTGAATACAAGCCATGTTAAACCCATCTAACCTAGGAGCTTTATTCCCATCATAATCATGTATAGCTTCCCAAATCTCTTGCTCTGTGAATGCTACTACCAGATTATCATTCTGCATAGAGTCAATAGATGAAAATATGCCAGAGAGTTAGGCCTTGAACACAACTCCTCAGTAAATCTTCTTACAAAGTAATTAACCACTGCCTGTTTAACTCCTGGTTCCACTAACCTCACTCCCCCCCTCCACAACCGAATCCAACATATTTTTTCTTTGCCTAGAACTTGCCATCATATGGAAAAACCTTGTATTCTTATCACCACATTTAGCCCACACCATTCTAGATTTTTGATGCCATAAGCTCCCTTTTCTCCTACTCAAATTCACACTAGACTTCTTACTACCCTCCTTCTGATCATTTCAGATTTAGATAAAGTCCTTGATTTAGCTACCAAATCAAGTTCATGATACTCCTCATCTGCCCTTTTTAATTGGACATCCACATTTCCAAAAACCTCAGAATTCCATCTTTTGAGATGGACCCTCAGATTAGCTAACTTCCTCTTTAGTCTGAATCCAGCCCATCCTGGATCAACAACTTCCTCTCAGGACTTCTTCACTTCAACTTTGAACTTAGGATGGAGTAACCAAGCATTAATAAATCTAAAACGTTTTGAACCCCAATTTCTTACACATTCCTTTAACAATACTGGGCAATGATCAGATATACTTTTGGGCAGTCCCCATTGCTTAAATAAGTATTCCTCAAACCACCTACTATCCAAGAGAAACCTATCTATCCTGCTCCATCTCTCCCCATCTTGATCATTACACCATGTGAAACTTCTTCCCAACATAGGCAAGTCCACTAGACTTAACTGATCAATTAACCCATTAAAATCAGTCATGCCTCTCTCCATTCTTGAGCATCCATTTCTTTCACTAATATACGTAATCTCATTAAAATCTCCACCTATACACCAAGGATTAGTGTAATGAGTTTTATCTACCCAGAGCATCCCATAATTGCCTCCTCTTAACTACATCATTTGGGGCATAAATATTGACTATAGTGCATTCAAAAGCCACTCCAACAATTCTTGAAAGCATAATGAACTGTCTTGAACTGCAACACTCCTTAAGTCTGAATCTATTTGGATTCCAAATGCATGACAAACCTCCTGTAGTACCTTCTGTATCCGCTCCCATGAACTCCATCTTTTCAAATGACCATATCTGCTTAATGAACTCTTCCTCCATGCTACTCTTTTTTGTTTCTTGTAATAGCACTACATCAATTCCTTCATCTTTTATCATTACCTTTATTTTCCTCCTTTTTCCTGGTCTTGTTAGACCTCTAACATTCCATGTCATTATCTTCATAAGGAACCAAATATTACACCTGTCCCCCTACATTAGCTATTAGGCTTCAACAGCCATTCCCCTACCTTCAATCCTTTCCAAATCTTGTCTTTCCATCTGAATAATTTTGTCTATAGCTTCTTCTTCTTTTCTTTCAAAATTTATGCCAAGTAACAGCCCCATTTGGACTGTTGCCTTAGTTTCCATAATCAACCTTCTGCTTTTTCTATTGGACTCAGTATTCATTGATAGGGAATTCGACAAAACTGCTGCAGTGGCTCTGAAAATAGCACCCCTATTAAAGCTTTGTGGAAGCACTCTTCCCCTATGTAAGGGCAATGTCTTACCTTTAAACCTAACTCCTATATCACTCTCCTTATTTCCCTTTACTCTACTAAGAACCCTTTTTTGAACCAGTGCACAACTGCTCTCTCCATCCTTTTGGGCTGCTTATGAGCCTACTTGATTGAACTGTGTCTGGGCTATACAATCACTCAAATTTGACCATGAATGTCCATTGGGCCTACTTTGATTAGCTTCACTCTAGGCTCCCTGTAGTACTACTTTTAAATTAATATTAGGCCTACCCATGTCAGGCCCACTCAAGCTTTTCATAGACCCTGATGTGAATATATTGGCATCAACATTTTGAATGCTCCCAACCACCTTCTCTCTTGAATTTTCCACAATCTTCATTATTCGATCACTGCCATAGCCCCTACCTGTTGAGTTTCCCAAGCCTTCGTCTAAATGCCCCAATGATGCTGCTACCCCCATGCTGCCCCTTCTTTCCAGCATTGATGTTCCCCTCTCCAATGTGTCCTTAACCCTGCTTGCCACTTCAGCACTAAGTGACACATCATTACTACCTTCACCTTCCTTGACCGATTCCTTCTGCCCTATAATGGTGCCGGATACCATATCTTGCCTACTGCCGAAATGTGAATTCATAACCTCATTAAGCTGAGTATTGTCCAGCCCTGTGTTTATCCCTAATGGGAAACTTATCTCTTCACACACTTGAACTGGATAGTAATTCCCTTTGCATTCAACTGTTACCACTTTGTTAATAAACTCTCTGCTTTTTGTGATTATCCTTACTCTACCCCATTGAAAAGAAACTGGGTTGCTTGTATCCTCATCCAGCTGAACTACGTCGCCCTAAACTCTCCTAATGTCACTAAAAGTTCTTCTGTTCCACAGATTAAAAGGTATGCCAAAACAAAATAACCAAACACATCTTTCACTTTCAACCATTCTCTCATTTTCCCATTCCTCCATTGATGTGCACCACTCATATACCCATTTCTCCAATCTTACTTTTCATTCCTTCATCTGTTCCATAGACTTGAATGTTATCAGTGCAATTCTACCCCCTATCTCTGACATTCGCATCCTTTAACCCTCTTTCGTGACATTCCTTTTTAACATTAACAAAAGTAAAGAATGCTTTTAACTGTACTACTAAACTCTCGTAAAGCCAACCATTACCAACCTCTTTAGCTTGAACAGAAAGCCTGTTGACCTCTCTATTTAACCCTCGTACTGTATCCACATAAGATCTCTGCCATTTTCTCTCTCTATTGGTTGCCAATGCAACCTCTGTTTGATAAGACTGGTATTCACCTTTGTTGGCTCTTGCATCTTCGAATTATGATCTTGACTTCTGTACACCGCTAGCCGTACCTTCATTGCCTTATCATCACACCACAACCCTTTAGCTTTTTGAACTACCATACTTGCTGCAACCTGACTATCATACCTCACAAACCCAAATCTTGTTCCCAAAACTTTCCTTCTCTTCTTCGAAACAAAAACATCATTCACCACTCCATAGTTGGTAAATAGATTGAACAAATCTCTTGGTTCCATCAATTCGGGTAAACTATCCACAAAAACGGTGAACATTCCTAGACCCCTTACTCTAGCTTGCTGATATCCCACGAGAGAAATAAAATGGAGATAGAATATGTAAAGTAAAATTTCAAGTGGCAAATTGTTGGGATTTTACTGAAAAGAATAAAAAAAGGGCAAAATTTTATTTTATCTCCTTGTGGTTTAAAGTCGAAGTACTTTACCCTCTGATTCAAATATAGTTAGAAAATTCTTATAATATTTTGGACTAAAGTGTCACTATTAGTTTTTCCATCCAAATTAATGGAAGGTGTGTCTCTACGGGGAATTAGCGAGACGATGTGCCTTTATCATGCACCTGCTAGAGAAATCCAAAGTCAAAGATTACCCACAACCTAAATAGGTCGAGAAGACCGTCAGGCAATCAAGTTAGCATCTTGATCAGACATGGATAAATTATAGAAATAAATGTGTTTATGTGATGGTTATTGTGTATATATATATTGTTGTGTTCCCTTACCTGTTTGCTTGATTTCCTTTTATAGTCAATCAATATATTAGTATCGATCGCCGGATCCCTTTAGATCGGGTGACCATCCTTTTGTCAGAGGTCATTTTTGTAGTGGCCAATTTGTAGTCATATTGTTGGCAGTTAGATCTCCTTTGATTAGACGATCAACCCGTTGTCAGGGATCAGTTTGGTGGTGGTCAACTTGTAATCGTTGTTGGCCTTAAATCTCCTTTGATTGCATGACCAACTCGTTGTCAGGAGTTAGTCTATGATTCGAGCCCGATTGCATCTGACACGCCCGATCAGGCAAGTCGACCTTAGTTTTTAGGCTGTTATTGGTTGGGCTGATTAGGCCTATTTTGGGCCTACACTTTCCTTGGACTAATATTTTAGCTTCCACAGTGTGTCACACACCATTTTTTTAAAGTGCATTTGATTTTCTAAAAAAATAAAGTGAAATTAGCACAAGAAAAAGACAATTTTACCTCCATCTTCTCCAAACTCAAAATTAGATGAAGATGTTAATTAAAATAAAAATATAATATTAAGGATTGATCTAAATTAACAATGATATTTTAGAAAGGAGCGCAACATAGATTTTTTTTTATTTACAAACTAGTATTGGTAAGTTACGAACCAACGTTGTGAATCAAATTTTCATGCACAACGATGGAGCAAAGAAGAGCAAAGAAGCAAGGAGCAACAAAGAGTCGCGGAACAACGAACAGGGAAAATTGAGGATGTATACCTGTTTTTCGGCAGAAGCCAAGGAGGAATATGGGAAATACAAGCATTCACACATTATTTGTGGACAATCTGCCAGGCTCCATCGATCCTAAAGGCCTTTACAACATGTTCACAAAGTTTGATGTGGTCAAAGATGTATTTATCCTAATTAAGAGAAGAAAAACCACAAGATCACAATTTGGTTTTGTTCGCTATGTTTGTCATATTGTAGCAAAGGTAGAAGGCAAATGGAGTTTGGTGTGATAACAAAGCTTTGGTAGTAAAGAGTACTACATTTAGAAGAGATCAGAAAGGTGAGCTACAAAATCTAAGTAAGCAAGACATGCAAGGTAAAAGGATCGATTCGGGGTGGGTGAATAGAAGACCATCGTTTGTAGAGGTAGTAAAAAGAGGGGAAAAACCAAAAGAATTGGACGCTGTAGTTATTGCAGAGGAATATGGAATTGGGTGGTTATATGAGAGTGCTGTAGCTAGACTTAGGAATAATTGTCAGTTTTCAGACTTCAAGAAAGAATTTCTCAAACAAGGTCTGAAGAATGTACGAATTCGAGAAGGTGGTGGAAGGTTAGCAATACTATCTTTTGATTCGGTAGAGGCATTACGGAACAGGAGAGAGGTGTTGGGAGAATGGATTAATGACTAGTGTGAAAATGTAGTAGAATGGAGGGAAGGTCATGTGTTTGAACAAGAAAGGGAGGTATGGTTACGCTGCTATGGTGCACCATTGAATTTATGGAATACTACAAATTTTAGAAAAATTGGAGAATTATGGGGAGAGGTACTAGACGTTGAAGATGTTACTATGTCCATGTCATCCTTAGCATATGGTAAGTTGAGAATCTTGACAAAGTCTATGGAGATCATTAACAAGTGTGTTAAGTTGATCGGTAAAGGCTTCGTAAGCAACATTAGGGTGTGTGAAGAGTTATGTTTCTATCAAGAACATCAGAGATAAGATAACTCATCAAATTTCAATTCAGTGAAGCTCAAGGTGCAGACATGGAAGATGGGAACGAGGAAGATGAAGATGACGTGGATGAATCAGAGGATGAAGTGGATGGCAATGATGATATGGAACATGATCATAGGGAAGGACATGATATGTCAAAAGAGGGCGGCAGTGGTAGCTTATTTGCTTTGTCAGTAGTAAATGAGTCGAGCTACGATGTGGGAGACCCAAGAGTAGCTGGGACAAGTCTGGAAAAAAAGCTAAGCATGCATAAGGTATTGATTAAGAACAATAACAAGGGAAGTAGAAGAGTTTCAGAGTGTGGGCCTTCAGTGGGTTTTATGAAGAGTATAAGCACCTCTGATCCACCCAGGCCCAATATTAATTTAAATGTGGTGTTGGACCAGGCCCAGTTCAAGGGACTAATTGGTGGTCTGAATCACAGAAGAGGTGAAGGGAAACAGGATGAAGCCCAAATCAGAAGATATCAATCACTAGCCCAACTATCTATTGAGGAGATTGTAGGTCAATGGGATCAAAGGGGCATCTAAATCAAGATGAGATAGAAATATAGCAAAGAAGAGTGCTCAATAAAAACCAAGAACTACTAAGTAGTTACAGTAGTAAAGATCAAATGAGTTGTGAGTTGCAAAGGAAAAGAAGACCGAGGAAAAACAAGGCATGGTCCAGGTATGGTTTTCGAAGAAGGGCAATTTTTAAGGCAGCAGCAGTGGCTCTCTCATCTTCAGTATCACAAACCATCAATCATAACAAAAGAAGGAAGGAAAGTGATCATCAGTATTTGCTAAATGAAGCTCAAGCTACAATCTATATTGGTAAAGCTCTGGGAGTGGATTTTGAAGGTAAGGAAAGAGAGGTGACAGAGAAAATTATTACAATGGAAAGACATGATAGGTCCCAGGCTCCAAAGAAGACTGTGGGGGTGTGTAC